GGGAGACCTCCCCCCCCCCACATCCACAGCCCCTCCAAACTCGCTGACGAGCTGTCAATGACGGGCGACCGGTCGGTCTTTGAGGTGACCCGGAGAATGAACGAAGCGAATCTGCGGCGGCTGGAGAACCAGCCAGAGCTGCCTGGAGACAACCTACATCCTCCCCTCAAAGCACTGCCGAAATCACCGGAATTGATCTTGGGAAGCGCTGGTGCTTTTTGCTGTAAACTGTAGATACGTCTTTCGGGGGTCTCTTTTTGGAAGGGCTCAAGTCGAAGAAAAAACAAAAGACCCTATGCACCCTTGTTGAAGGCTTTTCAGCCTGAACCCTCCAGCTCGTACCTTAGTACATGGCAGGGACATGACCCGAACACAAAACAGGTACGACTGCCAGGAGTCACAAAGGGGTGGTTTTGAGTCCCTAAGTGAGTGGAGTAGCTGGGCACCCCAAACCTCCATTAAGATCCATTAAGCACTCCTTTGTGACTGCTGGTGTACCCATTTTTCGAGGTACGACTGAGACCTCCAGGTAGGGTCTATTCTGGTTCATGCTTGCCTGTGAGGACATGAGAGCGACTTGATCATCACAGTTTCAAAAGGGGTGGTGTCTCAACATCACTTGCATGAAGGACAGCATTTCCCAGCTCCCAACACCAGATCACGTGTGGGTGTGTAGAAGGTTCGGGAGATCTCCCAGGCAACCAGCCGAAGGTTCGGGGGATAGACCTGTTGCACCCATTGGTTGGAGATCTCCTTATAAACATGGTACGTGGAGATCTCCAAGTGGAGGGCCTATTCTCAAGCATCGCAAGTCCGAGGTTGGCAAGAACTTGGTGGGACTGCAATTGGATTGCAGTCTTGTGCGTCAGCTTGCCCTCCGTAATCCTTTGCCTGTGTTGCTGCTACGGATGTTTGATTTGCCTTTATCCTGAGCATTATGGCCTTTGGATACGAAGAGCTTGGGAAAGACATCAGGACCGGTTCTCACGGTGGCGGGTCCAAAGTGTGGTCTCTCGGAGCTCATCCACTCACCACCGCAGTCAGTTCGTTTAGGACCGACGGATGGATGGAGACCGAATTCACGGCGGGTCGTGCTCAACCACCCGGTCGCACCCGGTGCTGGCGATGAGGTTTTTAGAGACCCGTTTGGCCTCCAGTCGTACCGAACCTGAGGTAAGGTGGGACTGGGGGCCCGGGTGCCAGGAGGGTCCAGTCATACCTTCTGAGGAGGTACGACTGGAGGTGTAGGAGATTGATTGAAGATGATTGAAGATGTTGGGAACATCGTTTCATACAAAGAGCTACCACCGGTAGGATACCGGGTGTCCTTGATCGTTTGCCATACCTGTGTTTTGTTCTGCGGCCTTTCGTGAAGCACTTTGGGCATCCGGGCATTGTTCTTATACACATGCCCTAGCCTTCCGTTCGACCATGAAACGGTTGAACTGGGTTTTGGTTGCGTCAAAACCTTAGCTGCTTCGGGATGACCGGCCTGTAGCGGTTGGACGTCGAGGGCATGAGTGACCATCCACCATCTTCGACCCCCGTGGCTGCCTTCACCACGTCCATCGCGCGGCGCCCCAGCCCAGCTCCCGCCGGCACATCGATCGGTCGGTCGGTCTTCGCCCCGTAGGACGTGCGAGCCATGAAACGCGTGGCGCGGGAAGCAGGGCGCGAAGAGGCCAGGGCTTACTTGCGGAATGCCAATGGCAACGAAGTGCACGAAGCTCCGAATCTCGAAGTGGTATTGACCGAGTCGGTTGGCGGTTTTTGTTTTTTGGAGAAGACATGGGGTGAGAAAGAGCAGGGGATTGTTGAAGATGCTAGCTCCAAAAGCCACTGGTGGCTTATAAAATGACCTTTTGTGAGAATTTGATGCTAAAACTGTGAAAGCAGATGAGGAAAACCATCTTGTAAAGCCTGTACCTCCAGAATTTGCCCTGAGACCCCTAGAATGATCTAGAATGCAACATCAGGTACTCATGTCACTCAGATTGGATGCCCTTGAGACACCACCAAAAACAAGTTTTCGAGCCTTCCAATTCCACAAAAAAGCCCTAAGAAAGCGATTGACGAAAACATCTCGCATAGCCAAACAAGTGTTCGGACGCTATTCTGCGCTTGTCATTGGAACCCGTTCCCTGCATTGATATAAAGCACTACGTTGAACAAAATCTTACACAAACATAGGCCCCTTCTAGACTATCATTTTATAGACAGGTTGGTGTAGCAGTTTATAGGCATTTCATCCTGTTCCCACCATTCTATAAACGGCTATCTCTATGAAGTGGAAAACCGCAGCCCAAGCAGATTCAACTGGTATGCAGGCATCTAATCTTTGCCCTAAGGATTCCAACCACCATAATTATTCAATAGCCTTTACCAAACAACTATGGCTTTTACTAAGGACTTGACACTACCAGATCAACCCGAAAGCGTCTTAGAGATGGTCGAACGGACAAACTGTTTGCGTCACACCCAGACGTGACCCTGGGCCCCAATCCTCTGGAGGGGTCGGACCCGAATCCTCTGGAGGGGTCTGGGGTCGAACCAATCCCGGTTTTGAGGGACCAGTCGAGCTGTGAACGGAGCGTCTGGGCAGAACACCTCAAGGTCTCCAAGTCTTGGATCCCACGTTTGTGGCCGAGCTCCCTCGCCTCCGAGGAGCTCTTGGGTGAATCCGCAAAGCGTGGGTGTGACCTCCGTCGCGCCACCGGCTGCTGCGGTTCAAGTGGATCAAGGCTACTATAATGCCAAGGAAACGGAGTGAGACCCGGCATTTTGTGTTCGGAGCTGGTCAGGTTGGTCAGGTTGGTGATCAAACTTGTGAGCTCCAGAATCGTCCCAACGGGTTTGCCCAAGGAGGGAGGTCATTTTGCTGTGTTCTTATCAAAACGTACATTGAGGCAGTCTAGGCACAGGACAAACCACGATGTTTGAGTTCCTCTGAGCCGCATTCATGGGGGATGTGGCTCATGACGTAATGCGTCATGGCGGCATGCATTGGTATGCCTTTTTTGCCAGCATGACTTTCTTGACGCCAAGTGAATCCAAAGACTGTCACTGCCAAGCAGCCTGGCTGTCTTTTTTATGTCACCTGCGCAAGGATGGTAGCAAAAGAGCTGCCCAGAGGCCCACGGAGTAGGATGTTGTGCATGTTTAAACCCTTCCGATACGTGCAACTCGCCAGGCACTGCTGAATAGCAGCAGCGCAGCACTCGAACCCAACAGAGAGCAGGGGAACGAAGAGGATATTACTACCACCCTAAGAATCCTTAATCTCTCCATGGGGGTCGGACCCTCCATAGCAGGGGTCCGGGCCCTCAAAACCCTATTTGTTTGATCTTAGGGCAGGACCGAAACCGTTCGTCCCGTGGCTTGTGGACACCCCGTTCCTCACCTCTTGATGAGGCTATAATTCAAAGACACCTCGAATGGGCGGTCCTGGTACAGATGATCCCCAAGTTTCAAGTCAATCTATGACAATACACAAATTGCAGAAAACCCAAACGCTCCATGAGACTGCCATCGGACTGCCGATCACTTGGCTCCCCGAACCACCACCCAAAATTGATCGGCAGTCCTATGGCAGTCCCATGGAGTGTATGGGTTCTAGTCAAATGAGTCCCCCCCTGGCCTTCCAAGACCCTTTTAAAAAAATGCTTTGAACATCTTTGAACTGGTTTTGGTTGTGTAAGATCCTTAGCTGCTTCGGGATGACCCGCCTATTAATTTAAGCTTGGAAGTCATCCGGGTCCCTGTGAAGAACCAGGGACTGTCTCACCCTGTGGCACTCGGTCCAACTTGATCCCCCCAAGCGTCCAACGAGACATGTCCCCCAAGCGACGTGAAACAACATGTATACCGAAGGGGTGGGCCTTTAGTCCCACCCACCACTCACTGGATATTCTGGGCACCCCTATCCTGTTTCTAGGGGAATCTGGGTCGTACAACTCTGGCTCACTCACATGGTTACGTGGACAATGGCCCCTGTGAAGAGTCTTTTCGTCTACAATCAGGTGGTTTACCATTTCCATGTTAGTGAGTCAGAGTGTACGATCCTTTTTTTACGTTCGGTACACATGTTTTTGTGCCGTTGTCGAAGACTGATTGAAGTCGAAAGACGAGCTGCTCGTGCCCAAGTGAAGTGAAGGAAGTTCCCACAAATCAGGTACTCTATGTACTCTCAAGCCATACACCTCCAGTCGTACCGAACCTCAGCGGTTCGGTATGACTGGACCCGACCCTGGCACCCGGGCCCCTAGTCTCAGGTTCGGTACGACTGGAGGCCTAGGGAAGAGGATTCTTTATAATCTTTGACTCTCTGGGTACACTGCTTCAACAACATACACTCCTCGAAAGAATCACACGTTGATGGGCTTATCAATTGGCCAACAACTACGTGCTACTACAGCAACGGCTTACGCACGCGTGATGGTCACGTCAGCTGTTGCCATCTGAGAATTCTTGGTAGACTCCCTGAACGAAACGGAACGGAAACGGCTCTGGAAGACTCTACTCAGACTCAGATGACAATGAGTTTTCCATCCGGACACCTAGCAGGTGGTTCAAGCAACGATGATTTTCAGGGACTGTATGTATGGTAGAACCCAATATTTTTTTTCACCACCCCGAAATGAGCTTCCATGATCTTGAGGGTTAAATTCAAGATGGGTTGAGTTTGATTCGTAGCCATGAGTCTTCCCCCATGCTTATATCCAGATCAAGACTTCTGCTCCTTGCTGTCAGCCGGTGGAAGCATCAGCCCAGAGTCTGGCTCCACCACCAAATGGAAGCAACAACAATCAACATAGCACGGGTTCAAATTAAACGCCAGGTCGCAGGGAACAAACCAATAAACTTCATGTGTAGTGTTTATCTTCCTTGGAACGTAGATGACCTAGATGACCTCAAGCCATTTGGGGGGGCATTGAATGCAATGGAGTTACTTTAATTGGAGGTCAACTGACCTCGGACTGCCATTCCGGCACCTTCCTCAGGTGTCCACGCCACAGTTCGAGCGCAGGCCATACGGGGTGAGCCAGTGAGCCGGCGTGGGGGGGGTTGGAGCTCGCCGATTTCGGGGCTCACCGAGGCGGAGAGCGGCACCTTTCGGCAGAAGCCATTGGTGCCATTCGGCATAGAGTTAGCGATATACAATGATGCAATGAGGTCCCTGGCAGAAATGTTGAGTTCTTTTTGTTGATGGTTCATCAACACCTTTGACACCTCTTTGGGGGGGGCTACTCATGGACTTTGAAGGATGGGGGGTCCTGGTCGATCCCAAAAAGTGAGTTCTGCACTTTTGGAGTTCAGCAATCAACCCTATATATTAACATATATTTAACTAACTAAACCTCTATACCAGGACCCTCCGACCCGACAGGGGTGTCCTGGCTGGACTACCCCACACGGATCCTAGGATGGCTTCCAGGTCCAGGGCACCCCGGTCCAGGAGGGTCCAGGGATGGCATCCATGGCACCAAGACCTGGACGGTGCCACGTGTTGGATTGAGACGTGCAGGAGTGGACATGGGACAGTGGACGACGGGGTGTTTCTGTTCATGTGACATTTCATGGTGGAAGCACCCCATTTCTCCACGTTGTGTCCGGACACAAAACAGGTCAAACTAGGTTGCGGCTTCGATGCATTCCAATATGTTTTGTCGAATCAACATGGAGGGATACACAAGTCTTCTTGGTGGGTAGCTTTCCCTCTAGAACACCACACGTATTCCACACCACTTGCCTCACGTATTCCATGCAAGGCCGTTTACCATCATGTTCTTCTTGGCGGATGACACCTTAGAGATCTCCGAGCAGTACCCGCTGAACTGCGGCAGGCGGGCGGAAGCTGACTCGCGGACGGGTGCAGCCGCGCCGCAGCCCTGTAAACCAGTAACAGTCACTGAACCATCATCATCATCATCATCCACTGAAACCTGGTAATGGGATCTATATTAACCCTATAGTCCAGCGCGGCTATGCGTACTTTCCCGTGCTGTGGATCAAAAGAAATTCCTGGCGCCAGGCGATTCCTTGTTTTTTCGTTTTTGACTCGCGTTCCGGGATACCCAACATACATGGCGTTCTCTCCAAACAGTTTCTGCTCCAAACGTTCTGCTCCTGGAGGTCTGGGGAGGTCTGGGACATCTCTAGATGCCAATCTCTGGAAGAGATGCCGGACTCAACCAGTCGCAAGTCCAAACTGTACCCATTAAACACCACGTACCACCTCTTTTAAAATATCTGCTCAATTGGTAGCCTCGTGAAGACGATTTCGAATGAGTTTGATTCCCCTCAAGTCAGAGCTTCCCAGACGCTCATGCACCCTTCTAAGTAGGGGCCGGACTCCCGGACCCACATCCTATGGAGGGGTCCGGACCTTCTCACCAATCCCTATGGTTTTGAGGGACCTGGAAAGGCCTGTGAACGGAGCGTTGGGGTTGATTCTTGTTCAAGTCTGTGGCCAATAACCGGATCGCCCTTTTTGCGACCTGAACAAGCTATGTGCCCACTGTATTTGTGGGTGATGCGCACCCATTCTCGCAGCATAGGCGATTCACATGCGAACAGCACATCTCAGCACGACATGAAAAGTAGAGACCCTATAGGGATCCAGCAGAACATACTTGGACCCTCCAAGCCTACAATTACCTTCTGACCAGGTGGGACTGGATCCCTAGACATTGGGTCACCTGATGTTGTTTCCAGCCCCAAAAAAGAATCCCTCCCAATTCCAGGGCTTCTCCAGCAATTCAGCCGCTTCAGCTTCGCTGGTCTTCGGCTTAGCTTCGCTTCGCAGGGAGAACTTTCCGATCTTCTTCAAGCGTGGGAAGATCCCCTTTGGACCCTACAAGGTGGAGGGACCCCAGGCACAAGCTCGAAAGAAGCATGAGCCCCTCGGTGGAGCGGCAGCGTGCAGAGCACGGCGGGCGCGAAAGGCGCAGCTGAACGGGGGCCCGTTCGGATATGATAGGATATGTTAGGATTATATTTCAGTACAACTACCAGCACCCTCCAACAGGTCTCCTCTGGAGGCTTTTGTAGACTTAACAGGTCTCAATTGGTGACCTGTTGGAGGGTGCTGGTAGAGATAAATACTGAAATATAATGTTCGGATTCAACCAAGAGGTCAGGTGGAGACCGGGGACGGTCAAGTACCCGGCGACGTGGCCCCGCGGACGGTACCGGGCCGCTATTTCGCTTCGGAACGCCCGGTTTGGGGGGTCGGTTTGGCGGGTCGAATCAGGGTTGAAGTAATTGAATGGATTTAAGGGAGGGACCGAACGGGGCGTTTGGGTTGAATTCCCGTCTGAACACCCAGACGGTTGAAGCAATTGAATGGCCCTAAGAATCCGAGTCCGGCCTCTCCATGGCAGGGGTCAGACCTTCTCCCTCTTCGCAGGGGGGAAAAGGGCCCGAACCGGAAGGCGTTTGGCGTTGAATTCCCTGAACACCCAGGAGACGGCTGAGGATGGACAAAACCGTTTATTAAATGGAATAACCCAACGAATGCTTAACATATATTATATGAATCCCAGATTTTATGCCTGGGGGTATTTGGGGGTATAAATATATAGTCACGCAACATAAAAGCAGGGTAACGTATGTAAAAGCCACACGAACTCTGTGGTGCGGATTTGGGGTGATTCACTTTTGCTTCAGGCAGCCGCAGTGAGACGCTCCCACCTTTTTGGTTTCAACGATGCTTGGGAGAAGGGGAAGTCACACCCAAAGCAAAACATCGACTTCGGCCCCTAGAAGTGTGAATCTCTTTGGACAGTTCCTGAATCATGAGCCTCTCTTTCTCTCTTTGGTCGGGGCTAGTGGAGGCCACAGAAACGCCGCCCCAACGCCGCACGAAGATGTCCACGGCGTTTTGCTGCTGCAGGTTTGTGCATGGCCACGACTTTCGGGTGAATACTACGGTGCCTTGAGGGACGGTGAAATACTACGACGTTTTGAGGGGCTTTGGATGGCATATGGGTTTATTTACCCTAGGGCTCCTGGCCTACCTCCGTTTCGAAGCTGGTTGGGGTGGGTACAGGTCTAACCACCGAACCTGAGGAGATGGGCCAGGAGCCCTAGGGTTAGGTAGGCAGCCCAGGAGCGTCATGGAACGTCCTGATTGGAATCTAGAGGAAACATCAAATCTTCTGAAATGCTGGTTGTGTCCTTGGTGATTCCCATTGATTCCATGTTGTTCCTGATCCTTTACTTGCTTAGTATGCTTCTGTGGGCAAAGATCAAGCGAAATAGATGATTTGCTGCGAGCATTTTCCAGGGTTCCTAGCTACCTGACGTGGTGCAGTGATGATCAACGCCGGACGTAATATTTGTTTGTGAATTCTGACATCTGTGCACAACAGATCTCTTTCTAGACAGGGGAGTGCTTGTTTCTGTTTCTTTCTTTCCCAGAGGATCCATGGTGGCGTTTTCATATGACCTACATGAACCCCCAAAAAAACCATCAAGCGTAAGTGCGCAAATGTCGGCGATACTTGCTATCCCATGGATCCTCGACGTGTTGGTTTCTTTCCTTATAGGGCTCCGCTTTCGGGCTCCGTTCGGCCGCCGTGTCTCCGTTTCGGTTCGATGGGACACCGGTCACCGGAGATGGTTGGAGCCGATGGGGCCCCAAAAAGGGTCATAGAATTGATGCCCTGGGGATCTAGAAGGTGATTGGAGACACTTGGAGACACTTGGGGATCTAGAATTAATCCCTTCTCAGAAGGTGATTGGAGACACTTGGACATCAACTCCTTTTCGACTCGAGCCAGTACGAGCGACTCGGGTGGGCCATCGTCTCGACGACGGTTGAAACCGGCGACCAGCCGCTGGTTTCACCGGTCGGGATGGTCCACAGTCGGTGGAGATAAGGGTACAAGGTACACGAGATGGAAGTGGAAAAACCCTTAGTTGGTACAAGGGGCCCAGGCCATCCACGTAACCATGTGATGTGTTCGTCAGAGGATAAAAGAAGTCAACACACAACTTGGTTGAACAATCCCCAAGCTTGTTGCATCCAAATTCTAGAGTGGAGACACTTGCTGCACAGCCTTCAAGTGGAGACAATCCAATTGATTCGGGTGGCCACTTTGGATGTGCCCACTGTTACTGTAGAGTTCAACAAAGGCTGAATTTACCACCGCGTCCAGCTGACGGGCAAACAGAGATGGTAACCTAGGGCCTTCCATCTCAGGCAGGGTTTTGTATGCAATGGTGTGGCTGTCGGCAAGTGACTGTGAGCCCACTGACCTGCCCCGTTTCCGAAGGAACTTGCTGTGCAACACCAGAGTTTGCTGAGCAAGTTGACCCCCAACAAAAGGCGAGTTATCCTGAGAGACGATGTGAACTTCCGTCCGCCCATGTTCCAGCTCCAAGAGTTCGCTGTTCAGCTGAGAAAACGATCCCCTGGTCACACTGTTCCCATCCCAACGCTTCAAGCAGCCCTGGGATAGGAACCAATCTCTCCAGAGGCAGGTGATTTCCATCTTTCTTTGAGAAAGACCGAAATCTTTCCGTTGGGTCATGCGACGGCGGGCCGCATGCGCTGCTTCACCCTCAGGTGCAGCTCCTGGGGAACTATTCCTTTTTCATCTATGATGCAGATGAGTCCAGAGCTCAGATGCACCACACCACGTCGCTGCTAATAGAGCTTGAGAAATTGAAGCGACACAATGGAAGGAGCCCGCAGTCGAAGATGCGGTGCTGTGCAGTGTTTTTTTTTTTTCAGCATCCACTGCTAAAGTGATGACTAGAACCATACATTTGTATATTCTAAGTCTGGATACTTAGTCTAAAACATTTATCCAGGAAACTATAGTCAAAGACCTTTTCTGTGTTGTTTTAAGAGTAGAATATGTATGCTGTCCGGCCCCCAGCAACAAGTCGAAGACCGTCATTCGTATCAAGTCGAAGACCTGCCTCGGTGTCCGAAGACCTGCCACGAGAACCCCAAGGGCTTTCATGATCCGAAGTGGAGCGATGAATACAGGACACCGGAACTCACACTGCTTGACCTCACCTCAGCACCATCAGATGCTTTCCAACGTGACGGTCGTCGCGTTGGATCCATCAGGACTTGGTTCTCCTGTGGCCACTGGTAGCGACCTGACCCGATCTGACCCTTGCCCTGTGCCTCACTTCTTAGTTCCATAGAGTCTGAATGATAGGAGACAGCCCATCACCCCATAGGGTTCGGATGGTTTTGGTCTCATTTTTCAATATATGGAACCACTCTTGGTCCCTTGCGGCCCTTAGTGTGCCCACCGGTGCCCGCGCTTTGGAACCTCGCACGCGCCACGGCGGCGATCCTTCGACGTCCGCGAAGAATCGGCGGCGATTGACGTCCACCTGCCATCGCGCGAAGGTTCACGCGGAACTACTTCCGCACGCAGCTGGGCGAGGAGCTGGAGCCCATGGTCGACGTCCGCCTGCCCGAGCGCGCCGTGCCCAGGCGGTCCGTGCGTCGCGTCACGTCGGGGCGCTGTCTCGTTCGTGGAGAGGCGACCCGGTGGGGCAAGGGAGGCATTTCATGCCGTGGGGGACGGGGGAACGAGGCTGTGGACGTCTTTGACGGGACGGTGTGATGGTTAGGAGGTGTGGTTAGAAAGGAGGTGTGGTTTCAAGTGGGAGATCTGGTGATCAGTTGAAGGCAAAGGAACAAACATCGCTAGGTGTGTGGTTTCAGATCTTTTGATGTTCAACCCTTACTTGCGAGGATCGATCCCTTGAACACTTATTATGTCATCTTGTGTCATCATGTTATCAAGTTCTTAGGGATCCAAGTACCTTCTCGGAAGGTGAGGACGGAGACACTGCCAGGAGTGTCCAGTCATTCATACCTGAGAAGGTACTTGGAGCCCTAGGGAGTGGGTTGAAACCACCAACCAGCCGGTGAATCTCCGCTTGGTGTGTGCCCTGTCTGTGTCGCCATCCCTCCCCGCCAGGGCCAAGACGCCGCCCTACACGGGCTATGGACACTAAGATGCAGCGGACGGGTGCGTCTCGCGGATGGGTCTGGCTCATAGGACCCGACTTCGATGGGACATGGAGTGGGACTGGCACATTTACAGCCCCATTGGGGTGGTTGACTGGGGGCATATGTGGGCATATATACCAGCCCCATGGAGTGTCTGGGAAATTGAAAGACAGGTACGACCTTTTTCCTCCATGTTCAAAGGTACAAGTTCATCCATGTAGACAGAACCTGCCTGGGACTGGCGGCCGCGGATGGGTTGATTGAATTTGATTGGCCCGAGACTTCGAGAGCTTCGGGGCCGTCTGGAGCCGTCGGTCAACGAGAACATCGCTAGAGAGATGGATGGAAGGGCCTGCTTGCCCAGGCCACATCATCCACGGGGTCCACTGGTAAATAGGAGATACATGGATATACCCCCATGCATCCCAATGCATCAATGGTAGCTTTTTGGAATCTCCCACTCAGCCACAGGAGAAAGCACAAAAAGCATGCTTCAAAAAGCCACCTTCAGCCCCATGCGCTCGCACGCCCCATGGATACGCCCACGCCACAGAAGTCCCATTGCCTTCCTCTCTTCCAAGGAAGCTGGGAAGATTCCATGGGCTCGGTGACGCATATCGTCCCCAAGTTGCCCAAGAAGGAGCGAGCTCGACCCGCCGAAGGGAGAAGAACTCCGTCCCTTCGTCAGACGCTCTTAGTGTCAGGTGTGTGGAAACAAGAGGGGCGCCCAGCTGGAACCGGGTGGGGTGTACTGATAGATTGAGTTCAAGGTCGGAAGTCTGTATGCCAAAACGCCTGGTCTTGCTCAGGATGTTGAAACATGGGTGAATCCCCTTCTGGTGGATATGTTTTTTCCCCACCTGCCCGGTGAGGGTTGTGAGATTTTATCAGAGCTCTTCTCCTTTCTCCTTCCTTCCTCCTTCCTCCTCCGCCTCCTCCTCCTTCGCCAGATCGCAGTGGGCACAAACGCACAACCACAAACACAATCACAAACACACAACCACAAACACAATCACAGACACAATCACGAACACAAAATCACAAACACACAACCATAGCCACAACCACAAACACAAACCACAAGCACAAACACAAACACACAAGCCACAAGCATAACCACAATCACAAACTCAAACACACAAACACAATCACAAGCACACAACCACAAACACAACCACAACACACAACCACAGACACAGAAACCACAAGCACAACCACAAACACACAGCCACAGACACAGAACCGCAACACACAACCACAACACATAACCACTACACTCAAACACATCCACAAACACACAACTACAACAATATAATGCCAACTGGAGACCCTGGCGACACACCGGCGCGAACCCTCTAACGCAAAAATAACAATCCCGAACCCGAGGACCCACAAGCAAAGTCAACAAAAAAAAAACAAACGCACGACCATGGCAATATGACCCTCACCATGGCATGAAAGCAAATGATTGAAATGTCACGGTGGTCATCTTTTTCCCGGTGCCTTACGCAAATCCAGCATCTCCTTTGCAATTCACAAATAACACATCAATCACTGGATGTTGGGGTGCTTTTTCGAGAACAGCATCGCTTCCGCAGGACTTAGTGAAGCTCTTCCAGCATGAAGGCAAAGTGCTACGCTTCAAGGCAAGGTTTGCCAAGCCAAAGCCCGAAGTGCCTCGGCGATGGTTCCAGGCAAGGCGTAAGTTGTGTTGTGCCGGACCAGTTTTGGCTTCTGCACATGTCAGATGTAGTAAGACGCGGTAAAACTAGGTGACTATACCCTAAGCCCTAAGCAATTATGGAAAGTATAGAATATACCCTAAGAATCCGGGCCTCACATGGATTGGGTTTGGGTCGGCACCTTTGCGTATACCAGCACCCTCCGGGCCAGGTGCTTCCTGGTGACCAGTTCGGTGCCCAGGTTCACCACCTGTGGTTGGGTCTCCAAACAGCCTGGTCAGGAGGGTTCTGGTAGCTCGAGCATACCAAGACCCAGGCCTGGCCTGGTTGATACACCTCTGCCATGAATAGACCACCCCAAGGGGCGGGGGGTTTTGGGGTCTACCTGGTATACCTTCTGACTGTCGAAACTTCCTTCTAGGATAGGTCATCCAACACCATCTTGGAGGAATTTGGAAGACACATGATCCAAAATAGGCGGCCGTTTAACCATCGTTAGATAGAACCAAAAAATGGATTCTAAATTTTGACCCTTAGTGACTTAGTGCTTAGACTTCGATTCTTCGATTCCCTCGCACTGACCCTCGCACTGACTTCTCAGAGCTCCGCGTCAAGGATGCAGATCGCTTGTTCGTCATTAGCTTCTACCTGCAGGTGGGGCCTCCCTGTTCTTCCGAAAGACACTGCCGCAGACTTCGTGAACCGTGGGGCCCGTGGTGCGAAGTGGTTTGCTGCGAAACCCAGTCCCGAAACCAAATGGCTGTGGCACTGTTTCGATGCCTTGACATCCGTTTTGTGGCTGCGGTTGGGACTCGGGAAGCATCCAGACTCGTTAGGGCCGTTAGGGCAGGGTGAAGCGGAGTGATCCGCTTGGAAGCTCCGTAACCCGATAGGGTCCACGGCATCCCTCCGAATCTACGACTGGGCCCGCCTGGGTCGCGCCCGATACAGTCAGTGTTACCGTCACCGTACCTCAGGTTCGGTGGCAGTGGATCCGTAATTACACTCCATGGGACTGGAATATATGCCACAATGCCGATCAATTGACCCCTTTGGCACCCTAATTGATTGGCAGTCCTATGGCAGTTCCCATGGAGAGTGTGGGATAGGGTCACGCGGAGTGACCGCGGACTCGCCACCGTTCTTTGACCACCGGCGCCACGACCTTCAAGAGGTGATAAGGGCTGACCAGTTCCAGTACGGGCCAAGATCTACACTGACCAGTTCTCTTTGGGGTCTGGGCCATCTACTCTTATCCTTCCAGCACTCTTCTCCTGGGAAATACAGTGGTTTCAGAGTAGATGGCACGTTTCCCCCATGATGTCCTTTAGATAGATACAGGTCCATATAAACCACCGGCATTGGGGTCGCCATCTATTCTCAAATCCAATGGGGTCGGTCTCACTTCAAAGGGGTCGGTTTCAATTCACAACCTGTCCGGAGGGTGTTTGGGGTTTTCACGACCTGTCAGAGTCGCTGCATGTCGCTGCCCCGCTTTGGGCGCCGGCAGCCACGGTTCGCGCCACCTACCGGTGCCGCGACCTGCGACCTGCGACCTGCGCACTCGTGTGAGGATGACACCTTGGCCATCCATGAGCCGCCACAACGGAACATGGGTCACTCGAGAGTGATAGAGTGATGGAGATGGGTATAGGATTGCGAAGGGAAAATGGATGCAAGAAGTAACTACGTTGATACATAACACCCCCTATACCTGAGTTTTCCATGGTTTTCCTAGCTAATTATATCTAATTATGTGTTTCTTTGGGCTTTCCAATCAAAACACGTGCCAAATCTCAGCGTCGAGATTTTCTCCCTGACTGTGAGATCTTTGTGGGACCAAGTCCTCACTTGTGCTCCTTCAGGCTAAAGGACGCCGGATGTCTTTCTTTTGGACCATCCACTTTGTACCCTAGAAAATGGCACCTGGCCCGAACAAAACAAAGGTACCTGGCCCCTCCCAATGTACTTCTGTTTTGGAGTACTTTAATTTGACAAATCGGAGGCCCAACGAGAGGTACTTGCATCAGTTTTCTGAGGTACCAGTTCCGGATCTACTCCCAGTTCATCCCACGCTCCCCCCTTACCTCCCAAACCGCTGCCTTTCTTTTGGCCCCGTTCGAAAGAAGGCCTTTTGCACCTTAAAGAACGCTTCCAAAGACGATCCAAACGAGCGGCCGAAACCGAAAGAGTCACCTCAGGTATTGTCACCGGGCGCTTCTTAGAGAAAGGTGCCACGTTAGACCGCGTGGGAGTCGCAGCCACACGAGGCAGACATTTTGGAATGAGAAACCACCAACCATGCAGCTTCGTCCGTTGCGAAAGCTAGGCTTATTTGGGCGAACAAAGTGAGAAATTAGGGTGGGTGGGAGACGTGTCATTGGGGTAACAGAGCGTGCTGATGTTAGTGGTGTTGTTGTTTGATCATTTTTGGTGAGCTTGTGATGCAAAAGATGCAACATGAACCTGTGTTGGCATCACCTGCATCATACCTGGACCCTCCAAGGCGTGTCCAATGGACTGCCCCACACTACCTATAGGCTTCACCCCGACAGGAGGGTCCTGATAAGTTTATTCGGGTACTTTGTTTTGGAAAGAGGCTGATACAACATGGATTGCGCACGTTCCTTTGAACTCCAAGTCGGACTCCCAAGTTTCGAGTAGCGCGCGGGCGCCCTGTCTTTCCTTTCCCCCTTCTCAGCTCTAAGAGGTTTGGAGAGCAGATCACCGCGGTGGTGTTCGCTCAAGGAGTTCATGTCATGACAATGATAAAATGTCATGCAAGAAGCTCACAATCTCATACTCTCATTTCGTCACGAGGCAATTGGATCCACCTGGAGCAGGGCTCGGCCCACTAGAACACCCTTTTGCACCAATAAATATCAAACATCCGAGACGCAACAAAAAGAAAACACCAACCCTTTTCCCCTTCTTCCACCTTCCCCTGGCTGCCCCTAGACTGATAGAATTACCATATGAATTACCTCATGGCTCAATTCCGTGGTCTGGTAGTGACCGATGCTGGTACCTGGACCATCCTGGACCTGGGTGTCCTGGACTACGTGTTCGATCCCAGCCCACTAATTATTGTCCAGGATGCTTCACACGCCAGGACGCCCAAACAGGATGCTTCAGGAGATGGTTGCTGATCTAGCTTTTGGGAGCCCAGGCATCCACTTCACTTCTTGGCGGATCTCACCGGCCAGGCATTCACCTGAATCAGATCACCGGGGCCTTCTTTCAGCCCAACGATCTTCTTCCAGGCGCCCCGGGTTCCGATTGGTTTTTGTTTGGAAAGGAAAGGATGGAGAGGATGGAGAGGATGGAGAGGAGATGGTGCGACAGAGAGGTGATGTGCGATGAGCTCTTGCTGAGTTTTTGTGGTCAAGATGCAAAGGTTTGCTTTGTTTCGGCAAACAACACTATTAATATAGTGCTGCAAAATGGCCGTTTTCAAAACGAGTCAGACAAACAATTTAAGGTTGCTTTTCACCAATCCAGCATTCGTTCAAACCCTTCGAGATCACCCTTTTCTTCGGTGGCGCCTCACCAACATGTAGTAGTTGGTTTTTTCGGGTCGAGGGTTGCCTCTGGGATGGATGGTTTCAGGGAGTGACGAAGCACCTTTTGGGCTACTTTGGGGCAGCTAGACTTCACCAGATTCCCAGCGAGGCGACAGCTAACTCACCAGCGGAGCTGCCTCGTTTTCTTCAAGCCACTCAAAAATGATTGCCAGGCAATGTCATCAAGGTCTACAACAACGAGATGCTCATCTTGGACATGGATGAGTATTCCCGGAAGGCCATGTGGATGTTGCCAGGTGATCTGGCTGCCACTTCTGGATGCATGTGCATGACCCAGTCCTTCCAAAGGACTATATATAAACGCAAACGACAAGTTAAAGTATGTACTTAACTAAAGTCAGTGATTCACTCCTTCTCATGGTCTTTCACTCCTGTGCATAGTGCATTTCTAAAGTGTACGAAAAGGATCCTGTTTCTATAACCTGTATGGATGTGTACGGTCATGAGGGCCATTGTTCGTCCCTGTCATTGATTGGTGGACCCCAAGAAAGAGGGGCCATGGAACGGGGAAATTCTCTTCGGTGAGGCACTTTCTCGGGGGGCCATGAAGCGCGAAAACGGGATCCATGTGGCTTTCTTGGTTTTCGAACGGTTTTCCCCGCACGGGCTGGTGGCCTACCTTCTGAGAAAGTGTTTGGGAGGGTTTGGTCCAAATACCTAATCATTGATGTTGATCACAAGAGACCCCTGACTTGCTGGAAGGAGCACAGATGTCCTTCACATTCTTGGGGCAAGTATTCAAGTATATAAATTACTTTTTCAGAAACCGATGCTCACCTTGTGTGTTACCAAGAACCTTGTTCTCCGGACCGACGTCCGTCCACCACGCTGTCCACCTCGGTCCGATCAAACGGTAGAACAGGTCGAACCACCGAACACCCAGATGCTCCATGGGACTGCTCTATGCCGCCCCAGAAAGACCCCCGAAACAACCACCCTAATGATCCATGTATGCCATATGCCAGTCCCAAACAGGTCGTGTTTTGGGTATGGACACCAGACATTTGGACCGCGAGGAGTTTTTCAGGTCGCACCTTCCGGTTCATCGCCCGAGTTCATCGCCGTCGACGTCGGCAGGTCTTTGAAGATCCTGATACTTTGCTCCGGAAGTTCGACTTGGACCCTTTGGCAGCCAACCGATGTGTTTGTTCTGCGACACCATCGCGCGATCTATCGTCGAGGGGCATCGTTGCGATCATCGGAGGGGTCGGGGGATTTGGTTGGAAAGCGTGGTGAGGTGAGGACCAGCAGCGGAGGGGCCAAAAACCTAAGTGGGGGCTGTAGAAACCAATGGTCACAAGCCAAGTCCCCGGACCCTCCTGGCTACTGTAGGTGTTGCAACAGGTGTTGGCCAGTTACGGTGCCCAGAAACCAACGGTTACGGTGCCCAAAACAGCCTGTCGGAGGGTCCTGGTATAGCTTGAAGAGTTGGACCAGGTGGGCCTTCTTAGTCTGCTCATCTTGTGCACCATGATGGGCTGCAATTGGTCTTATAGATGGTACCGAGATGACCAGTTGTTGAGTGGGTGATCAAGGGAAGCTCGGCCCGCTATTCTCGACCGATTCGCAAGTGATTTGCCAAGGATTGGCAGGTGCATGTTTGATCTTTTGTGTACCTTTTGACTCGCTAGCATGGAAGTGGATGGCACCACCTGTTTGGTATTCGGAGAACAGTCATCCAGGCAATTTTACACTTGCATGTTAGTGAGTCGGAGTGTATAAGACTAAGGCGCCTAAATCAACTGCCAGATTTTGAACTGCCATATATGCCTACATTGACCCCCAAAACCACCCCAACTGATCGGCATATATGGCATACATGGAGTGTTTGGGACATGTTTTGCATTGTTTTACCATCAGCCAACTGCATGTCGAACAAACATCTTTGCTTCGAGTTCATCCTCTCACAGATCTCCAAGCCGGAAGAAGCAGGAACCTTGGGTGGTGGTTTTCCCCCCTTGGGACCCCCCTTGGGATGATTGAAGCTGCTGACTCATGTACAGTGAGGTGAAGCGCCCCAACGGAATGCACCCTGCGAAGTCGGCCGCGCGCGGCGCGCAAGAGGGCGCGAACCCGCCACACCCGACGGAAGGAAGCGGTGCTGCAGAAGTTGAGGGACTCCATGCGCCAGCAGTATCCACTGATCCGCGATATCTTCAGGCAGTCCCCACTGTTTTCGCTGGTCCGTGGTCCATGGTCTCGTTTTCGTGAAAAAGACACAACAGACGCTGTTGTGAATTGACAGTTGAGACCTGGTTGATGTAATGCCTTGCATCATTGGCCCCTATAGATGCCCGTTACGAAACCCTGAAGGGGGTTGGAGATGTTGTCGTTTGGCTTCGAGCATGAAGCACTTGCTTCAATTTTAAGCTGTGATGAGTCGTCACCAGGTTGAAACACTTGATTAAGCCGGTGGCCTGGTATCAAGTTGGATCGACGACTAGATCTCGTGAACAATTCTACCTGTCACAATGGCAGGTGGCAGATAGATTATATGCAACAAAATTACATAAATTGTCATGAAGCCTTTCCTGGTTCCTATGCCATTTTGCGCATTTTGCTTTGTTACTGAGTGCAACTTGAATGGAAGAAGTGGCCTCAGTTCAACGCCTTTGATTGTTGAGAATGGTATGGCTGCTCGGGGGACTGTTCCAATGATGTCTACTGGAGTTTTTCTGAAACAATCACGAGAGTGGATAGCATGGCCCATGGAAGACTGTCTACAAGCCGGTGGTTTCCACTTCCAGTTTTCCTCGGCGGTAGACTTTTCAAGCTTGGTAACATATTATGGGGGGCTCTATATATGAGCTATGGAGCTATCCATGCTGTGTTTCTTCAATCCGCCATCCATGTTGGCTCGCCATCCGGCACTGGCAGTGCTGACTCAGGGCCAGAAACATCCCGTGACTTGCTGCTATAGATCAGTCTCCCACTTGAGCCTTAAAACTGACTTCACTTCTTTTATTGAGGAATTCTCGCTTGGGCGTGAACATCTCTACCCCAGACACTCCATGTAATATATGATATATATGCCTCCATTGACCCCTGTGGCACTACCCTAATTGATTGGCAGTCCCAGACAGGTCGTGTCTGGGTATGAACTAATTGCCTAGACGCTCCGTTCACAGGCCAACCTTAGGAGTGGTTTGGTCCCTCCAGAGGATTCGGACACGGCCTCTACTGAACGGAGGGTCCAGGGTCGCGTATGGGTGGATCTTTTCTATCAGGGTGAGATTGGAACACTTGGATCGCAAGAAAACGCTTGTCCTTTAAATTGGAACTGTTTTTGCACGTTCAGCAACACCAAACGCACCATGTTGCATCCCAAAACCGTCCCAAAAACGCACACCAAAACTGTGGAACAACGGACCGATGTTTGCAGATCACCCAAACCACACCATGTCCGTCACGGTTCACCTCGCCGGGGCCGTGGTCGGGTCCAGTCCGCTTCGGTTCCGACATGCTTCGGTGTAGAAAGCGCGACCGCATTCCCTACACCGACTCCAGTCGTACCTTTCACCGACTTCGCGGTTCGGTAGGCTGGACCCGACGGACGTTTTGGCACCCGCCGGGCCCCGGGTCGTCCTCACCGAAACGGTTCGGTACCGACCAAGGGAGGCCAAACGATATGTGGTGTGTGTCATTTCGGCAGAGACCCGGAGTTCCCCCTGGGCCATGACTGGTCTGTCCGAAGCTTCCACTCAGGGGACAGAACGCCTGGGATGTTTTTGGGGGGTCTCCCCTAGCTATTTAGCAACTATGCCAAATGTCCCGTTGTCCCAGTTCTGCTGTTCTTGGCTGTTCTGGAAGGTTGGCTGTTGTTGTCCTTCCTTTTTTGGCTGTTCTATATAGATGAAAAGGCAGTTGATTTGTCCCAGTTGATGTGTTGCCAGGTACATCCCCCCTTTTCCCTCTCCCCGCTTCGCCCGCTCCACCGGTCTACGACGCCGTGGCATCGTTGCGCGTCGGTCGACAGGCGCTTCGATGGAGATCACGATGGCGTCGGGGGGACCCGAGAAGAGAAGCGAAAGCAGCGACGAAGGGAAGATCAAGACATCTCAAGTGAGTTTGACCTCATTTTGCTGAAGTTGATCAAACCAAGACA